TGAGGGTAGTTTGACAACCTGCTGTTCATCCTTGGGCCGTATAGCTCTGGGTATCCAGCACTTGCTACCACCAGATCTCCTCCATTGTTTGCCAGCTGTAAACTTCTTGTCATGACCACCAAATCATCTGACTGGACAATGGGGAAAAGGTGGAGATGACGTGGGGAGTTTTTCTGCTCTGGTTGAAGTTTTTTCAACTCAAGGTGTTCAGAGCACTCCAACAAAGACAGCAGTCGCTTAGAGTGCAGAAACGCAAGGCGCGTTGCAACACAACACAAAAAAAAAAAAAAACGGGAGCAAAAAGCTTAATTCTCATTAAAATCAATATAAAAAGGCACCTCCAGCTGCTAAAATGCATCTTGTGTGATCAGGGCCTAATACCTGTCCTCATATCCTCTTTTACACCTCTGCATACAACAAGTGAGCAAACTCTGGTGGAGGAGCAAGAAAAATTGTCCAGATATATTTCATTCAGGAGGCTTACTGAGCTCGGATCAGGCCTAAGAAACAGCTTTCTGTTGCTCTGCACTTAGGTTACAGGTGCACAAAGCTTTACTAACATAGTGAGGGCAAGCCATTTTTTCTTCGCTAAGGCATAGAGCAGGTAAGGACATCTTCATGGGGAAACACTGAAATAATCTGATGTTTGCTCAATGGCATTACATCCAGTTAGGAAGAGGTGTTAGAGTCAGACATCAAGACTGAATGTTGTAAGCAACCAAAATTGATAAGAAATGTCATTGACATACTGAAATTCAAATTTAGTTCCATCTCCAAATATCACAAAGGACTTGTACTAATCAGAGCAGCCAAGGATCCCATTTCTGTTTTATGGACAAATTCCTCTAGTGCGTGATGTTCATTCAACATTGCAGAGTCCTGAATGACAACACATTTAATTATAACCTCACATCTATTTGTTCTACACAAAGACAACATTTCCTATGATTTATTCTTCATGTCAAAAAATAAAAATAAAATAAAAACCATAGTCATTGATCTCCTGTTTATCCATTTTCCATATAACATCATTTTTTCTTATGACATCAGACAAAAGCCACCTAAAAATAACAGGGTTTTCCTGCATAGAGGAATTTCTGGCAGCCCCAAAAGAGGATTTAGCCAGCATCAAAGGAAAACCACCAGATGCAATATGATCATGAGTTTAGAGTTAAAATAGCAATTCAGATCCTCTCTCAATGTATAGCAATTTATCAAACAACTGTTAAACAAGAACAACATAAACTTAAACACAACGTCTTTGACTTTCAAGCTACGCTGCATTATTTTGACTTGGCCTGAACGTTACACTGTGAATCTGCCGCTAATGGGAGAGAGGACTTCCTGTGATTTCAAATAAAATAATAAAAGCGGTTTTATTTCTGGTGAAAATATTAAAATGGCAAATACAACCACAGCATGCTTTCTGCGTCATATCCTACCCCCCACACCCTGTGTCGAAACCAAACAGACTATTTCCAGCAGATGAGTACGCCTTTGATACGACAATCTCCTTTTCTGTGCTACATGTGTGATAGAGAAACCCTGGAAAAAAATCTGATTCTCTTTCTGAAGCAGGTTGTGAACTCTGCAACTGACTGCCTCCCCTCTTCCAACCCGACACCACTCTCCCTCAAACTCACTCCCCTTGTCCTCTTCAAATGATCTAATAAAGTTATTATTTTTTTTAAAAACAGTTTTGCTAATTGGGGTTTCATTTACTCATCAATGGTCAGAAATATACAGAGATTTCTGTTATATAAGGTAACACAGACTCACTGTATTTATTGTACTCAGACCAGTTACGCTGTTGTGTGTGGTCCCCCCCCACCAAGACCTATTCTGAGCCAGGAAAAACCTGAATAATAAATGCAAAACAAAGCTTGTAAATAATGAATGTGATAGTCCACACTTACTGGCAGCCTCATTTAATCACATATTTAGGCGACATTGTTCTGGAATGAGCGCTTATCTCCTGTCTCCTAAACATAATAGCTAATTTGTGGTGCTAAATGATTGCTGGAAAAGCTTTATCAAAGTTTACTTTTTTTCTTGATTGCTGATTTTTCAATGATGCTTTTGCTCCCCCAAAATCTGTTAAGGTTTATTATTTAATACCAGTAATACGTACAATTTAGGCCATGCATGACTTTAACTTCATATTTTGCAACATGTTATAGAAAAAAGATGATATCAAAGGCAGCTATAGACAAAATATGGACCTCTTCCAATTTTAGATTGTATGTGAAAAAGTCGATTTGTCATGCAGCACTTAACCAGCCAGGGCTGTCATAATCAACTGCTGTCGGAGACCAAGGACGTGGGCGTAACAAAGGATTTCATGCCTGTCTATGTCTGTGATTACATTATCTCATTTGCAGAAAACTGAGCTTCACAAAATCTTGATAAAAACATGCGTCACTATAGAGTGAGATGGAACATCACAAGAAAAGTGTACCACTGAACCCCACAGTGACTCCTCTGAACCACTTCAAGAGAAGTTTCACTCAGAAAATAAAATGAGAAAACTTTTGATGGCAAGTAAAGAACTTTACTTCTTTGCTCTTGTTCTGATTGTTCTTGTACTTTTGGTATTGCCTTTCTGCACACGTGTCACATTTAGATGAAGGACGTTCTTTATCTCACAATATAACATGTTGGTTTAACTCAGTTAATTTTGATCAAGTTTAGTCTAGTCTTAAACAAATGTGGAAGCATGGTAACGTGTTTTGACATCATGGGAGACTTTGCACAGAGCTTTTTAAATAGCCAATCTGTAGGTACATGAGTCTCACATACTTTGATTACTTTCAACCTCAGATTCTCTTCAGATCTGCTGCATGCTGTATTGTGAGTATCTGGCAAGAGAAGTGACTGTTTTAGTGGAAATCTTCTATCACTGCAGGCAACAGTCTTAAAAACATTCACACCAACATGGTGTTGTTTCCTTTATTAATTTCATCAGGGGAAACAAAATTAGAGCAATGTTCTCTTTAGCAATGATGCCCTGCAGATGCACAATCAAAATTAAACTAAGCACTACAATGTATAAAATCAACAGGGTGTATGCCTCCGCAAACCAGTTTGGTTGCAGTTAACATCCAAGTTATGTGGCAGTTGACAATCCTTTAATTATGGAAGATCTATACAATCACCATAGTTTGAAGGTGGGCACCCAAAATTTGTGTCACCAAATCAGCATCTGAACAAATGTCTCCCCTTTCCTTCCTGAGTTACGACGGTGAATGATGGCAGGAAAAATGTTTGTGCAGAACATGAAATGACCTTTTGAAAATAAAAGGTCATCATTATTTTATTCTATTAGACATTTTTTTGTGAAACGTTGTCATAATTTGTGTACGAATTCTTGAGTTATGGCCAAAAACATGTTTTGTGAGGTCACAGTGACCTTGACCTTTGAGCACCAAATTCTAATCAGTTCATTCTTGAGTCCAAGTGGGTGTCAGTGCTAAATTTGAGGATATTCCCTCACAGCCTTCTTGACATATTACATTCACAGAAATGAGAGGGATGTAAGGTCAAAGTGAACCTGACCTTTGACCAACAAAATCTAACCGGTTCATCCTTAACTCAAAGAGGACGTTTGTGCCAAAGCTGAAGACAAAGTGAAAGATGATCTTCACAGGAGTGTGATGTACAGATGGATGGACAATCCAAACCCCCCCCCCCAAAAAAAATCATTGATGCCTTTGGCCATGGCTACCTCTGGTGCAGAGGCATAAATAAAACAAACAAACAAACAAACAAAAGAAATTAATAACAAACAAACCAAAAAAATACATAAGTACACTTCAGCAGAACAAAGCAGACATAATAAGAATAACAGGAGCACTCATTACATAAAGCATCACTAAACAAAAGCTTAAACTGTTGCTGAGTCAGAAATTTGTCCAGTTTAATGAAGCTTAGTCCACCTATGCAGAGCGTAACAGTTAAATGTATACATATACACACACATATGTGTGTGTATATGTATACATTTAACTGTTACGCTCTGCATAGGTGGACTAANCTCCAAGGTAATGTAATCTTGTGAACAAGTATGGTGTCCCATAATACTAAGGATAGCTTTGAAAATAAAAAAAAAAGAAAGTGCTGTTCCCTTCAAATGCTAAGTGATAGCCACCTTTTTGTCTGTAAGAGGATACAATGAAACTGTCGCCTGTAATAAATCTAATGTCAAATGTAAGAGAGCTGAGACACACACCATTAAATGGCTTGAGGCTATGGACAGCAGCATGCATGTAAATTACACCTGCATAGTTTCTCAGCCCCATAAGCCACTACAGTTCAACTATTTCTGGTCAACTCTCTTGGTCCCACACATATTCAAGTAATCATGTACACAGGCACAAGTGGATCCAAAAACCTAACTCATAGAAGCAGGCAAACACAAGCACAGAAAGATGTCTAATGCACTTGGTCAACCTGATCATTTACAGGTTTAAGTCTTAAATCCCTTTGCATGTCCCTGAGAACAGACTGGGGCATCAAGATCAGAAGAAGAGGTTGTAAGTTAGAAAGAATATAAACTCATAGAACACGTCTGAGTGGTTGTGTAAAACTGTCTGTCTAAAAGTCGTCCCTCTCACAACACAGTCTATCTCCTGTCATCACACTGCTAAAGTATGCCTGCATTTTGCATATATGTGCATGCTGTGCTGCTGTCACATTAACTGTGGCACCCATATGGCATAATAGCTGCACCATATTATGGCTATAGGGTAAAAATCTGTTATCAAACCTTTTAACAACTAATATTCTCTGTTTCAGCAGCACAGACCTCCCTTAGTAGAGTAATTCCACCAGTTATGGTCTATAAAGACAAACAAAAGCTGAGTAAATAATTTGTCAAGTATGTCTCTTCACTTCCCCCCCGATTCGCCCCAGTGTCAGCTGTGTTGACAGGGTGGATGCTATCCACTTCTCACCAGCTCAAAGCCCCATCTGCACACAGACAAATGACAAATGCCTCTCACCTGTTGTCAGATGGTAGGAGTGAAAGCAGAGCCAGCGATGACAGCTTCCTTCTCTCTGGCTGAGTGATGTTGTCCATGCGGTCGACCCACATCTCTATCACATTGCCCAACAACTGGTCCATCTGGTGAGGAGAGAGGAGGAAGGTGGACAAGAGGGAGGAGAGATACGGAGGGTTAATATAGAGGAGGAAAAACAGAAAAACAAGTAGAGTGGTGATTAAATATAGAAAGAGGTCCAGACAGAGTGATGGAAACGGTGTTTGATCTTGATCTACTGGTTCCCTACGAAGCATCCAGACCCCTTAGGTCATCTAGAACAGGTTTGTTGTGTGTTCCAAGAACAAGAACCAAGCAAGGTGAGGCAGCATTCAGTTATTATGCTCCTCACCTGTGGAACAAACTTCCTGTTGATCTGAGGTCTGCTCAAACTGTCAGCTCCTTTAAATCAGGGCTAAAAACACTATTGTTTACTGAAGCGTACTCTTAGATTAAATACTTACCTGCTGTATTCTACTGCCCGTACTTTTTAACTACACACTGCTGATTTATGTCTTTTATTATTCTACTTCTTTTCTTATCCTGACTGTTCAATGTATTGAGCCTGTTTTTATTTTATGTTACTGTATTTTATTATTATCACTATCATTCTCAATTTCTATTTCCCTTTTTAATCGACTGTTTTTATTGTTTTAAATTGTGTCTTGTTGCTTTTAATGTCTCTGTAAAGCACTTTGAACTACCTTGTGTTGAATTGTGCTATACAAATAAACTTGCCTTGCCTTGCCTTTGACAACTCAATTTTATTTTAATGTTTAAAAATATGAGTCTACCGCTGTCTAAAAGTGAGCAACTGACCTTCTCTGTTTGTTCTGCCTCATTTACCTCATTGCTTTGTCCTTTAGCGTCAAAAAGAAGGGGCATGATGGAGTGACAACTTAGAGAGACAACCTAAGGTCTTTCATTTATTTAGATTAAGGCAGCAATGCCAAAACAAGGCAGAGTCAATGTTGCTTTAGGTCAGAAAAAACAACAATGCCAGGGCTTCATAGTGAAAGGGGACAGCTCTAAATTTTAGGGCTTGAATAGGTTACCACTTGCAATTCCCTGGCTCATTAGTCTTAGCATCGGTCTGAATGATTCCTCTTTAACAGGCACTTTGCGGTTATGTCTCTCACGCACGTTCTGAGGGGATTGTGCTGAGTAGACAGAAATGAAGGGCAGGGATAGAGTCTCACCTTCTGGCTGCACTCAGAGGCCATTTGAGTCAGCAGAGAGGAGAAGAAACTGGAGTTCTGGAGCAGGACACGGCCCATGATCCCTAGGTAGGTGGACATCACCACAGGATATCGCTGTACAACACACACACACACACACACACACACACACACAGAGCAGTGTGAAAACACAATCAGTCATGAGGATGCAGAAACATAACCTTGCACAAATGCTTTTACATTATGCAAAGGTCATTAAGCATGATAAAAGAAAAAAAAAGATCCACTGACACAGCAGAATCCTTGAAAGGGAGCCTGTGAACCTTAACTGAACTAAAGGATCGATAAATACCACTATATAGCCTCCATATGAATTAAATAACGATGAGGACAAATTGAGGGAACATGCAGGAACAGGAATTGTGTCTTTATAGTGAGTTTTTTAGGGTTTAATAAGGTAAAATGTTTAAACACTCAGCAGAAGAAGATCTAAAATGAGAGAAAATGCAGCACACGTGGAGAATAACACATATTTACAAGTCTGTCCTTTTATGTGATTCCAGTCTGTGGAGACGTGGATGTAAAACTCACCTCTCCGTCCACAATACCTCTGAAGACAGCTGGCAGCAAGGGCTGGAACATCTGGGCTCCCAGTATGGGGCTAACCTTTAAAGCTATCTCTACCACCTGCAGAGACACAGGCAGAGGAGGGATGAGAGACTGTACTCAAGGCGGGGAGTAAGGAAGCAGAAACAGAAGAACAGTGCCAGAGAGGATGTGTGCCAAACCAGAGACAGTAAGGGTCAGAGGCAGGATGATGTAAAGACGGAGCAAAGCGTGGGAGGACATACGGGGGGCAAAAGGGAGTTAGCAGGAGCTTCTTTTCGGAGAGATAATAACAGAGTGCAGAAATCCTCCTTTTAATTGGGGGTTTGACCTACAGTGTGCAGCAGGCAAGGTTAGTCCCTTAAGTTTTAGTTTCCCAAGAAATTTGAATGAGCTCTCTGTCAGGCATTAAAGCCGGAATAAAGAGAATACTTGAGTTCAACAGCTTAAGTAGAATAACAAAAAACAAGGCCACAAAAGCCCTGTTTCCAACGCACACTTTCGGTATGGTACTTTTGGAACCATAAGTACCCCTTCAGACATGGTACCTAGACCTAGCATTTCCACCGCAAACAGTACTCTTAAATGTGGGCGGGGTTGTTGTCACTCACTGCCCTATCCAGCACTCACTGTATTTCCTCATTACCAGTGAAATATAGGAAAATCAGCACCTCATTTATCGTCCACAGAACAGGCTTGCATGCCGACAGCAACAGCCCTGCAATAAATCCTACCTTCATGAAGGTTATAATATTCAGTATGAGAAAGGATCAGTGATGCATGTGCTTGCCCTGATAATCAGAACAATATTGCATAAACAGGCTTCAACAGTGTTTTTAGTCCCCCCTACACAATTTGTTTTCTTTATTTCAGTTATCAAATAAAGACAAAAACTAAAAAGCTGATTGTCATGAAATCCCGTTTTTTTCCGCCTTGCTCTCAAACTTAAGGCAAACTTCACATTACATAGTTGGACCTTCGCCCATATCCTCAAACACCACCCAACTAAACTCCTGTTTTCAAGATAGTCGAAATGCTTTTCAGCTTATAAACGTAGTCTTTAATGGCCGCCATTTTTTCACGACGGCACTACACATGTACAGCTCTTAACAGAGAAGAGAAGGACACCAAATGGCTCATCTCTTAGCCACTTCTACTTGCTGGATACATTAAGTGATTTGTTATATTTACTAGCCTGACATCACATTTTCCTTATCTTGGATAATAAAGCGATCCTTATTGTTGAGCCCTACATAACATATATAATAATAATATAAGTGAGAAAATTACTCTGAAAGAACAAGGACTAGATTCAACCAGTAAAATATTACTCCAGCCCCATTTGGCTTCCCATGACTAGACTATAACATAAATCCAGACCACACCAACATCATGACACTGTCACATTACAAATGGCATTTTAGCAAATTAAAGCCTCAAACAAGAATATTTAACTCAAAGGTCAGAAACCAACTCGAAACACAGAGAGAGACACTGAGATGCTATATGTGTCTCTGCAAGTGTGCATGCATATGAACTTTTCAAAGAAATCCATGGTGATTACTCTGATCCCTCTGTTCTCAGGGTGCCCATGTGTGGTGAGCTGTTGTGTGCCTATGTTGTGTAGGTCGACGGGTTTATTGTCTGCTTGCTCTCCTTTCCCCAGAACAAAGGATTAGAAGGAGCCAGATGTGCAGTAATGCCACTGAGCTTTACTAAGCTAAAGCTCAGTGGTCTTAGGAACGTTCTGCATACATATACTGCTGAATCACTGCAAACAACAGGTGTACACAGACATGCACACACGTATACACCTACTGTAAGTCTGAGAGTAAACCAAGAGAAATGATAATTCAATAAATATGGTTCTGCTCATCTTAACCTATAACTTAACACGCCTATTGTCACAACAGTCGCACATGCAGAGCACAGCTATAGTGTTTTGGCTAACTGTTGATAGCATCTAGTAGAAAATTACATAAAAGTGCCAGTGTTAGGGAAAAAAAAATCACAGTCACAGTCAATTATCTTTGAGGGAAAAACATGCTAACATCCTGAGGCTTCATGTCACTTTGTATTATTATACAAAATTGAGCATGGCTAAAAACAGAAAGGCCACGAACTACATGACACTCGGCTTGTGGTGCTTGAAGCACCCAAAAAAATACTTTTGAAAAACTCAACAGCAATGTCTCTTTCCAGAAATCATGACGTGGTTACTTGAGATAATCCACAGACCTTCATGTGAGCAGTTTGATGTAGGAACTATTTTCTTTCTACTAAACTACACCCACCAACCGTATCACTGCGCAGAAGAAAGCATGCATCCTCTGCTAGCTCACCTAGCACCACTGAGGTAGCTAACGTTACATCTCAGCTAGGGTTCGGTACGTTCGGTACGTACCTCGGTACACAAGTCACGGTTCGTTTTTTTTCGGTACAGTAATGAAAAAAATAGACAACTATTAAATATCTTTTACTTATTGGTAACCTTATTAAAACATACCACCACAGCAGTTAACTCTTTTTACACAATTTTTGAATGAAACAAATATATATAAAATCCTGCTTTTTCACATTGTTTGAATGAAAATAGAAATATAAAAGTGAAAAATAAAATCCTGGTGTTTTTTTAACACATTCTTTGAATGAAAAATATAAATATACATTTCTGCTTTAACAGTTTTACTCAATTAAAATAGAAAGTATAGTGCAGCTGGTCAGCTTTAAAGCCTGCTCAGATTCAGTTTTACTAGGAACTTACTTAGCTTTCCCACTTTGTTAAAGTGCAGTAAACAAAACATGCTTATATCTAAAGTGCAGCTTAAACAATTTTACTCAACTCCAATGGCGTTGGTTATTTCTTTAGCGCGATGGTCTGGGAAACGCTCTTTCTTTTTAAACGACGACGATATCGTAGTTTGCACCAGATTGCTTTTTCTAGTCGTGCTGGTTAACTTTCAAACTCGGGTGGTGTCGCTTCAGATGCGTTAGCATGTTAGATGTGTTTCCAAGTACATACTCGACCGCTGTTCTGCAGTGTCGGCACACTGCTTTTGTCTTGTCAACTTGTTTATTTCCATCTTCGTATTTTACCCTGAAACCAAAGTGTTCCCAAACGGAGGACTTAAGGTTTGCGGGTGGGTCTTCAGGTTCGTCAGGCTCACTTGCCATGTTGTCAAAATGCGAGAATGCGCTGCACAAAGTGAAAGCGGAGATTTACGGGACTCGGTCCGTCACTCAATTATGTCCGTTGGGGAACTAGATATTTTAAATGGTTCGGCTCGCAAAAACGGAATTAAAATAAAACAAAATAAAATTAAATAATATCCTGCGCCCAATAATTCGGTACAGGGTCATGCCGAATCGAAAGTCGCGTAGCGAACGGTTCGACACAAATACATGTTCCGTTACGGCCCTAATCTCAGCCAAGGAGGATGCCATTAATGTTTACATCTTGGGCTGTCACAAGCACGAGCCTCTCATCTATGAGTAGATGCACTCATCCTCCTTCGCTGTGATATGACTGGTGGGTGTAGTTCAGTAGAAAGACTGTTCAATTTTATTTATAAAGCCCAATATCACAAGTCACAATTTGCCTAAGAGGGATTTACCACACGTGACATCCCTCTGTCCTAGGACCCTCAGAGCAGATAAGGAAAAACTCCCCAAACAAACCTTTAACAGGAAAACAAATTGAAGAAACCTCAGGAAGAGCAACTGAGGAGGGATCCATCTCCCAGGCCAGAAGTGCAATATATGTCGTTTCATGTAGGAACTATTTTCTTTCTACTGAACCACACCTAAGCACCACCTATCACCTATCAGAGCAATGCTGGTAAAATGTGGTCAGAAACCAAATTGAAAACTGCCATTAAAAATACTTGAACAGATAAAACTCTCCAAATTACTTTTTTTGTGATGAACGTAAGGTTCATTGGATTTAGTTAACAGAGTGTCTCTCAAATCCATTATTTTGATGTTCAGCTATAAAAGGTATCTGACCAGACAGAGATGAAGAGAAGGCTGTTTGAGGTACCCTCCATAACACTTCTCAAATAATTTATCAGTAGTGAAAATATGGAGGCACCTCTTGCATTTTAACTGGGTCTCATATCACGAGCAGCACTGCCTGTGTCTGTTTATGTCTGTGTATACAGCATTTAATGCCACTTCCCATGCACCTGCTATTCACCGGGCAGCCCAGACAGAACAAACAAACACTGTGAGGGAACTTAAGAAGGGAGGATGAAAAAATGAACCCTGAGGAAAGACAGGCAAAGAATAAACAGAGGTAATATAGTTCTGTGTGTGAGGGGGAGGGAGTGACAGTACCTTGAACACTTGGACCTGTCCCTCATTCGTGATGTCTTTGAGCAGATCGCAGAAGGCTCGACACAATGATTCTGCATAGTTCTATAGGGTGAAGAATAATCATATGTATGAGCACGGGGAAGTTCTATACATGTGTGGATTATGTGCCAGTATAAAAGTGTGCGTGTCTCACCTGCAGGAAGTCTGTGGCAGACAAATATAAGTAGGCATTAACGATCTGAAAGCAGGTGCGCAGGTTCTCGGAGCTCAGCTCTGAAACAGAACATCAGATGTTACACTTAAACAAATTGGATAAAGGGGTTTAAATGATGGATGCAAGCAAGGGCGGAAACACGCGGCAAAGAGGAAGGAGAAAGGCATTCGTTGATATATGACCCTGCTGGAGAAGGCTGATCAGAGGTACAACACTTTCAGGCTGCATTGCATACTGGATGGATGGTCTTACTGACTTTGTCCCCTGAGAGTTGTCATTAAAGATGTGTTTTACTTTGAAAGTTCCCAAATTAATCCACCGTGACTCATAACTGGATAAAAATATCACATAAAAAATCCATGGGGAGGGGGACTAATCTTTAATGTTAGTGCAGAAATTAAACCTCAGTGCTCACACCAATGAAATAATTCAACAATAAAGTCCAGGGAAAAAAAGGTGTAGTATCCATTTTGTTTTTCAAGATTAAAAGATAAACTCACTGGGTATGTGCCACTACTTTGGAGCTGTGCAACGAGATTAACTAGAGTAAATATTGTCCATGAAAACACCATCAAGGACGAAAGATGTTTCTTTACTTTGCAACAGCTGCTTCTGTTGTTTTATCATAACATCCTCTGAGTGCATCTAAAGAAAATTCAGGCAACACAAAAAAAGAAACAAAATCGACACATCGTGGTGATTAAAAAAAAAAACTACTGGATGAGCCTGTTTTAAACCACCCAATTTAAGATGCCCATGATGCAACAGATGAATATTGCAGTAAAAGCTTTACATGCCTTCAAAAAAAACCCCCAAAACTCAAGTGTCTGCTTTTCTGCAAGCCTGAATGAGAGGTTGTGAGTATCTATTAAAAAGAACTACAACCTAAATTATTAAACATTCTGTTGCCTCTGCAACATCATTATCCCAGCATTAAATATTTTCTGCTTTGTCTCTGGTGTCTTTCTGACCTTTGCTGTCTACGTTCATGTTAACACAGATAGAGTGAAGCCTCGCATATCAGTGCTGGATGAGACCTGTGGGTTTGCTGTGTATTCAACATCTATGAAGTATTTTTTTTCACATTGTGGTGAGTTATACAGATTTAAAAAAAACACACAAAAAGCATGTGTTTATTTATACTCAACACCAGCAGGGAAAAGGGTTGTAACTGAGGAGGCTGTATTCAAACAGGATTACAATACAACCATAACCTGGGGATAAATGTAACAGTAGAGACAAAAAACTCAAGGGGACGTCAATGGGGGATGTAGAAGTGCAACAAAAGAGGCTGGAACACTCTATCATCATAAAAGAGCAGATATGCTCTAAAAAGCTTGGCGAGTGTAACCTCAAAAACAATCCCCTCTTTAGGCATTTTGTACATATATGGTAATGCACTAAAAGAGGAAAAATGCCCTCAAGGCAACACAACCAAACACACAACACTTTGGACCATACACAGGAGGCTGCAGTGCGAAGAATTGACTTTCGGCCAGTAAGTGTGTGTACACGCTGGAGTCTGAAGCCAATGTAGCACCATGGCTCTAACTGTTAATGGCCTCTTGATCCATGGAGCAGCGAGAAAACAACCCTCACTGACACGATTAGTTGTGTAATAGGTTTGGTGTTACAATCAGAAGTGGGCACTGAGCGAACAATTTGCCATATTCTGTACTGTACACAGAGTATTGAGTGTGTGTTCCGTGCTCGTGCGTGCAAATGTGTTGAGAAGGAGGGAAGATGGCTCTGAAAATTGAGCCAAATTTCAAAGCATTTACATCAGATTGCCAGGCAGCTGAGCAAAAGTTAAGTTTGAAAAATAAAAAAGGGGTACGTGAGAGGAGGAAGACAATGGTGTTGTGGGTGAAGGCTTCAGATGAGCACGGGAGAAAAAGTATCGTCCAAATATATAGCATAGGTGATGAGAATGAGGAGGACATGAGCAGTAAGAGGAGGTCACAACATACACCCCAAATAACACACACACACAGCAGAGTATGGGTTTGACAGTAATATAAGCTGGCATGGTAACAGACCTTAACACCCTGAATAGCTGCCGTGTGACACTTAGAAACACAGACACAAACACACAGACAGGTGAGAGGTGAGGGTGAAAAGAGGGAGGACTAAGAGACAGCTGATGGACGGACAGGAACTAAAACACTCACACACACCTGCATGCCGACACTAACACCCTCAAACAGTCACCCACATGGCCCCTATGGAAACACCGAGACTGTAACATCTGCATGAATGGTCTGAATGTAATACGGGATGACAGTGTAGCTGACTCTAACACCTAGAATAGTTGTTTACTTCAAACAAGTTGACAGGGTAGCTAATTCCAACACCCAGGATAGCAGTTACCTCCCTGCGAGTACACAGGGGCCAAACACTGTGGATATATAAGCCTGTGAATACATACATATATAAAACATAATGAGTTAAAGCTGGTAAAACTGTTTTTTTTACGTTGTTTGTGTCCAAATGAGGGGGGTGTAGGTGTAGTTTTTTTTCCAAGAACTTTTTTAAAGACCCACCAAAGGAGTGCCAAGATAAATGCTAGGGTTATCTATCTATTTATCTATCTTCCTATCTATAAGTGCAGGGGAAAGAGTATTATCCATGCATGGTAACTACCTATGTGCCTGTTAGGGCTGTGTGTTAGCAAGAATCTGTTGGTATGATAAATATCACAAAGGCTGTCAAGACAACCACTTCTGCTGGACGATATATTGTCCCAGAAATAATTGCAATGAACAATATTAGTGTGATTTTGAGACCATTTTACGTCAGTGATATAATGATAATAAAATAGAATTATAACGCAAGCTCACCTATCAAAGAACAATGAACTTTTAAATCTTGATAATATTCAGACATTGGCCTGAAAAAAAAAAAAAAAAAACAACCCTCAGTTTGAGTCCTATTTCGAAATTTAGCCAACAAAAACAATATCAAGTGATGCCTGTTGCGACTAATAGACAAGCTAAGTGAAGCTCCGGGAGCAGCGCAGCTACCTCCATAATCTGGCCGGTGTGTTTCTGTAGAAGGATGGCCTGGGAGCTGGGTGGTTTGCTGGTGGATTTACTGAGTGGAGGATTAACTTGTTGGAGGGTAGAACTACAAATGACTGACTGGCTGGCACGTTGCCAGAGGCTAGCAAGCTAACAGTTATCAGGACTGTGCCTCTTCGCCCTCCAAAGTGCAGCTGCAGGCTAGTGGTAAGCTACACTGTGTCACCTTCAAGGGGTAGTTTTACTTCTCTTCAGACTTGCACAAGTTGGCATGGGCGGAGAGAGAGAGAGAAAAAAAAAGAAGAATCACTGTGTCCTCGTCTTGTAATTTCTAGGACAACGCTCCTGTTTATTCTGGCGTAATGTTGGCTAAAATGGTGACATTCCTATGTACCGGGCAATATCAAGGTCACTAATGTGATCATGGTCATGTCCATTGTACGATTAAGTCAATAACATAATTATCATGACAGGCATACGTACCACGACACAAGGGGTACAATTTAATGTAGGCAAGACAATACTTTGTGACTTTTTTCAAAATTTAATTTTAGTAAAACTGTCACAGTATGAAGAACACACCATCGTTTGCATAAAATCTGAGTAGAAACATTTACTAAGGCCTCTACAGTTTCCTTTGTTGCACCACGTGATCGTACAATTGATAATTCTAAAGAAAGTACATCCAAAATTAAATGTCAACTATTAATTAAAAATCGATAGTGATTTTAAGAATTGAAACAGTATCACAAAACAAAATATCACGACACTTAAATGTATCATTACCTTCTTACACTTCTCTTGTCTGTAATGTGTCTCTTTCAATCTCACTTCCTCTCTGCTACTTGTTTCTCTTTCATTCACTCTTCAGCTTTCTTTCTGTCCTAGTATTCTTTAGTGACTCAGTCATTCTATTTTACATAACTAGTTTAAACATCAACAGTAAACAAACTCTCATGCCTACTTCAGGATTTATTTAAAAATATAACCTGAACTCAGGCCATTAACATAGAGCTCGCTGAGCTGCAGCAGCACTGGATCCTTCTATGAGCATTCATAAAGCTCCCAAACCTTATGAAATCTCTCTTTTATCAAGGGTTGTACAGGTAATGATTAAAAGTCACTGGTGAGTAGTAAGAGAGGAGGTCCAGTCAGACCATTCTGGTTCATACAGGTGATATTAATGTTGATGTATGCAATATGTTTGCTCCAGCCATCTGCCAGACTCAGTGAGGTAATGAAGGTAATGTATGCTGCCACCTGTTGTCTGTGCAGGTACATAATGTATTCCAGGGGCCTATTTAGTCAGCAAATCAGCCCACATGAATATTCAACAGTGCAAACATAGTATGGAGCAACATTACGCTAAACTCATGCAGTGAGAGGTCAAGTTACACGAGCACAGATCAAGAGAAGAAGATGATTGATTTCAAAACACAATCAGCCACAGAGACGTGTGGAAAAAACAGGAGCAAGAAGATGAGTGATGGTCTGAAAAGTCACAGTGACATCAAATGTGCAGTAAAACAATTGTTCTGATGTTTCCACTGTCATTGTGTGCAGTAAACTGCAGCATGGGTACAGGAATGTGGAGCATCATGGGCAAACACAGAGGGAAAAGATGAGAGCTCCACTGCAACAAATGCTTCCCTGTGATCAAGCCAGACCGTTTATTTTTCGAAAGAATAAAGCAAAGGCAACAGATTGCTTAACAGTGGGTGAACAAGGACACACAGCGTCATCTGACAAGGAAAGCACGACAGGTCTGCAGTCCTGCAGAGGGGGTGAATAAATGATCATGGTTCTTTGTCGACACCAAAGTGGGTACATTTAGCGAGTGCAACTTTTTTTTCTTGAAACCTACTTACAGGCTGCATTATCAGCACATTTATTATGTTGACATTCTCAGTAGGAGGGCAATAGACGTTGTTTAAAATGTGACTACTACTTTTCAGTGTTTAGATCCCTCAAATCTGATGGTAATTAGTTAAAACAAATCTTCTACAGAATTTAGGTGTTTTTTTTTTTGTTTTTTGTTT